TTTCCCATAGCTTCATTGTGTGGCTCATCAACTTTATACCTCTGTAGTTGCTACAACTCTGCACATCACCCTTGTTCTTAAAGATCGGCACTCGTACACTTCTCCTCCATTCCTCAGGCATCTTCTAACTCTCAAAAATCCTGTTGAACAAACCAGATAGAAACTCCACTGCTGTCTCTCCTAGACACTTCCACACCTCTACAGGTATGTCATCTGGACCAACAGCCTTTCCACTCTTCATTCTCCTCAGAGCCTTCCTCACCTCATCCTTTCTAATCTTTGTTACTTCCTGCTCTACAATATTCACTTCTTCCCCCTTCTTTCCCTCTCATTTTCCTCATTCATCAGTTCCTCAAAATACTCTTTCCATCTTCTCTGCACACTCTCCTCACTTGTTAGCACCTTTCTATCTCTGTCTGTCCTAATCATGTGATACACTACACTACGGCCTACAGTTACTTTCCTTGTTTACTCTTTAATTTGCTTATGTCATACGAAAATGCACAGTAGATTATATTATTCAGACTTCAAAATATTACCACATCATTTAGCCAGCATGGCAGATCATATACGTTAGTATAAGACTAGCAAAGGAGGCAAACAGCCCTTGGAAATTTTAATTTAAGAAAACAGGGGAAATGAAATGAATTATATGGAGATTATTAAAAACTTAAGTGAAAAGTGGGAACCAGTAGAAATAAACACCACAATGAGGTTGAAAATGAGACACAAGACAAAGCAAAACATTAGCCTACATTTAATAGGAATACATTTATCTAGTCAGTCTGGTGGAGCAGGGAGTTGTAACAGTTTAGTAAGAATAACTGTAATAATATGTGTTTTTATTTTTTACTTTATACAGTATATTGCTGTATGGTTTTATTAGGCTATTGTATGTGTGTTTTGTTGTCTGTAACTTTTTAATGCCTCTGTTTTTTCAGGGCTTATGGTTTTATTAGGCTATTGTATGTGTGTTTTGTTGTCTGTAACTTTTTAATGCCTCTGTTTTTTCAGGGCTCCCTTGCAAAAAAAGTTGTAAACCACAATGAGATTTGATAAAATAAAGGTTCTAATTTATTTTAAGGGGCAGCACACTCTCCCAACATGGTAGGTGGCGGTAACGCATCTTAACATTGGTTGCAACCAACCATTATACTATCAGACGAAGAAGAAGACAAGCCTTTTACTCGCGGGAAAAATGGCGGAAATGTGTGGTTTCTTCATCTCATCAACATAAGCGATTTAAAACATCGTATCATAAGCTTTGTTCAGGGCTTGTGTGCATGCGTGAGTATATATTGTGTACACTGATAATTCCGATAAGTTTTAGTTGTCTGCTTTATCTCTCAATTGTGTTGTTGAAAGAGTTTAGCCGTTTTATGTCTCCTTCCTGTTGAACTTAACTGATTGAAAGTTAAATACCGACGTAACGTTATCAAGTTGTTTCTGCTGCCATTTTTGTACTGATGTGCATCTACTTTCCCTTAATACACGAGAAGAGCAATTACCTGTAGAAACCCTCAATACTGCAGTTAACTTTAGCAGTGGTAACAGAAGTAGTAACCAAGTGACGTTGGTTTTGTCCTTGAGCTATGCAATAATTTGTGTTTTAAATCCTCTAGGTGTGTCAGAGCTGCCTCTTTATATGTAAGGCTTTGGGTTTAGGAGGAATGCAAGATGCAAAAAGGTATTTATTATAATCAGTCTTTTGACAATGTTGTGTTTTAATGTAATGCATCCTGTAGAGTTGAGAATTCATTGTTCTCTTACTTACCCCCTCAGATTCAGTGCCCTTTTCTAGCTCTGGCCACAAGACACACGATCAAGCTCTCACTGAAGAATGCCCAGTCAAGTCTTTCCAGTGTAGTGAATGCACACTCGTCTTCAAATCCAAGGTATATCTTTTTGAACACCTCACCAAGGTGCACAGCTTTGATGTAGATAGTGCTCTTAAAGCTGGTGGTTTAAAGAAACAGTCATTGAAGACGACAGACACTGACAACAGTCCAGGAATTATTTTTTTATGCCAGCACTGTGACTTTAAAGCTGGTAATTGGGACATTTTAAACAGTCATGAGAAACAGTGTCATAAAAACATAGAGAGTCCAGACTGGATAGGAAATCTCAATATTTTGGGAAGCCCAGAGACCAAAATAATTATTTTGACAAACCAGCACAAGGAAGGTGGAGAAACAAAAGAGATTCCCTCAGCTTTTTCGGGTGTGTCTACTTCAAAAACTAAATGCACACTTAACTCATCAAAGGATTTGGGTTCATACAAGAGGCCATCGCAAACAATCACCAACTACTTTGCAGCAGCATCTGGCTCAAATGGGGAATCTCCAAGGAAATTATCGGATACCCCAATGCTTCTTGATAGCACTGAAGGAACCCTAGTTTTGCAAGAATCTTCTTCAAGCTCCAGCCCAAACCATAGCAGTGTTCTTAAAGTTGCTGCAAAGTCCACGATTGATATGTCCAAAAATGTTTCTGACCAATATTTGAGAAATGACCACTTGTTAATTACTGACCTGAGACCTCCAAAGCCTAAGGAAGAATTCAAAGAAACTGTTCATAACAGCACTGGCAAGAGGATGCACAATGAAAGCTCAGAAAGTCATCCTGCTAAAAAAGCAAAGTTAGACAACGAAGAGACACAACTCCCAGAGAAAGCAAACACAAGTGAACAGCAGTCATCAAACAGACCAGAGGTTTCATTTGAAGACATAGAAAGCCCAAATGTTTATTTCTGTAAGCATTGTGACTACAGTGATGTGGACATCAGGTGTGTGTCTAACCATTATCAGAACAACCATCCTTACATAAGATATGACATTGTCTACATTGAGAATCCAAGTGATCAGAGTGCTGCCTTTCGTTGCCTGGAGTGTCCAGTTGAGTTTTTAAGTGTAGCTGACCTCAAGATACACTATACAGAACATCATCCAGAGGCCCCAAATGTGTTCACGATGCAGTCGTGTGAACTCAGTTTGGTTTTCAAATGTTTTACATGTCCATTTACCACCAGTGAATTGAAGGACTTGAAAGAACATTACAGGGAAACTCACCCAACACATAAAGTGGATAATCCCTTGTTGTACTATAAATACTCGGGGACTAGATGCCAAGAGGGATCATCTAAGTTGAGTACTTCTGAAAAGGATCCCAGTCCAGAAAGATCAAAAAGGATTTCTCCTGCGAGTGACCATACACCATGGAAGGAAGTCAAAAGTGCAGCCTCACCCCAACATCTCGTCTTCAAAAGAGCAGATGGGGCTTTGTATCATTGCAACAACTGTAATTTTAGTCATAAGTCAGCTGTTGTTATGCATGTTCACTATCAAAAAAGCCACTCAGATGAAGCAGTCACAATGAACAAAATCAAACCTTCAGACCATGTCACGTCACATGCAACATCAGAGGTGACACCTGAAAAATCTCCAAAGTCTGTGTCATTTGGGGAAAACTCCACTTCTCAGAAGGACATGTCAAATTCTTCCAACAAAGCAAAAGATGATCCTGAGCTGTCGCAGCAAAAGATTCCTTTGTCTTTGTCACACACACCAGAAGATTCTACGATTCATTCAGACTCTAGCATAAATAACAAAGTGGAATCTGCAGAGGATAAAAGCAAAAGAAGGAAGTCGCCTACCAAATGTAATAGGGAAATGTCTCCTGGGAACAACAGTTTATCCTCCCGTTCAGCACATAAAATGTTTTACTGCCAGTTTTGCGTGTTTGCAAGTACCAATGTCAAAAGCGTTCTTAGTCATCATAATGCAAAACATGCTATGGATGGACCAACATGTATTGAAGACATTGTGTGCTATAGTGGGACGGAGCAAAAGAAGAAACTTCAGCGTGATACTAAGATCTCAGAAACTCCGTCTGATCGTAAAACTCGTAAACAAATTGAGGTATGTAGTAATGAGTTTCAGCATGAAGAGGGTGATGTAGCAGGTGCTTCTGTGACAACAAGTAATGCTTATGAATGTGCAGAAAAGTTGTTTTACTGCCAAAAGTGCAACTTTGGAAATCCAACTATAAAAGGAGTTTTGAACCACCAACACCAAATTCATCAACACATTAACACAAGCCATCAATGTATTCTTGATCATACAGCTTTGATTCATGAGGAAATTAAAAAATCAAAATTTCAGACAAAGAAGTTATCCTTTGCTACTCATCTACCTCCTCCACTAATGAAAGAAGGTGATGAAGACAGGTTTTTCTGCCACTTTTGCAACTATAGGCACAGCGCCATGAACCAGGTCCTGAAGCATTACTCCAAAGTGCATCGTGGATTTGGAGTTAATGCTGAACACATCCATTTGTATACTTCGGAGGTTCTTGAACAGACACAGAAATTGCGTCTGAACAAAACTAAACTGGAAGAAATCAATCATGCAGCTCCTGGGAATAAAGGAAAAGAAAAGAAAAAAAAGAAGCTTGTCAAATGCTTTTCACTCGCTTCTTCACCCTCAGTAAGAGCCTCACAAACGCAGAGGACCCTTCGATGCCATAGATGCACATATACTACACAATATTTGTATATGTTGAGAAGGCATATGTGGAAAACCCACAGGTCCAATCGTTCAGTCCAGGAACTTTTAAGAATGCTTTTTATCCGAGGAAATTTACAGACAGGATATCACTGTGATTGGTGTGTGTTCTCACACAAAAATGCAGCAACGCTCTATCAGCACTACCAGGAGCAACACCCAGAACGTAAAATAAGCCTGGAGTTTGTAAGTAAGCGGTTATATGCTGGTCCTGATACATCCTCTCTTAAAAGGAAAAAACGTGAAGTAAATCAGACTGATGATATTAGTCATGGTGATTGCCCTGATGGAAGCTCACTGTCTCAGAGATCTGCACAAAATGAAACCAAGACTTACTCGTGCAGAGCATGTCCATTTAAAGGTAGCTCAACATCAAGTCTCATTCGCCACTACCGTGCTGTTCATCCTTGGTCTGTGAAAGAAGATGGCTCGGTCCTGGATGTCATCACCAGCAAGAAGTCAAGTGCAAACAACCAATTGGAAGACCACAGTGAAATCCCAGGGTTGTTTGACACTTACCAAGTGCCTCTTGAAGATGACAAGTCATCTGATTCATCTCATGAAGGAACCGTGTCTCCCACATTGAAGTGTCATTACTGCCCAGCAAGGTTTCATACCCAGCATGGCCTCAACACTCACTGTGGAATGAAACATCAAATAGCTGTGACTGAAAATTTAGATGAAAAGAAAGAACTGCAAATACCACAAATACCACAAATCCCAAGACGTCTGCACATCTTCAAGTGTCCACATTGTACCTACGTCAATACCAATTACCACGGGGTTCTCACTCACTGCCAGATGAAGCATCCTGCCCTCGTATCCAGGGCAGACAGTCTTCATGTGGATGGAACACTTTTACACAATTTAGAAGACTGTTTGAAACAAAAACATCCTAACAGTAACAGTTTGAGACTCAGTGGGTACATGTGTAAAACCTGCTCACAAATCTTTGTAACGTTGGAGAAGTTGAACATGCACTGTGAGAAGGAACATAATGAGACTGTGACAAAACCTTTGACCAACAAGCTCAAACCGGCTCCTAAATCATTTACTGTGGTCAAACTGCAACAGTATAAAGCCCACAGTGCTCAAGGAGCAGTATCAAAGGTTTCCTTTTTGCACAAAAAAAAGTATGCCGTGATTAGGTGCCAGCACTGCAGTTATATTTGCAGTACAAATATTGCACTCAGTCGACACATGCATGTTCACCACATGAATACTTTTGAAACGGGTGTAAAGGAAGGTGCATACAAGTGTGCCCTGTGTTCAAGTTCCTATTTTAGGAAAAAGCGTCTTGGAGACCATTATACTAGCAAACATGGACAGCAAGCCTTCTTAGAATACTACGTACAAGTATACAAAAAAATCCCACAGAAGTCGATGTCAACATCTCCTGACCATCCTTCAACTTGGCAAACAAAAGATACTTCTGAGGCACGCAAGTCTATCACAGCAACAGGCGAAAATAAAATAGTGGTCTACATGTGTCCACGCTGTCCTTACATAAATGCTAGTCACCATGGAACTCTCACGCACTGCCAAATGAAGCATCCAGACCTCGTAGCCAGGGCAGATGAACTTCAAACAGAGGAAATACTTGTAAGGAACATGATTGGATGTACGATGGGAAAAGGTTCTAATGAAAGAGGGTACATGTGCAAAAATTGTCCACAAATTTATGCGTCGTTGAAAAAGCTGAAAATTCACAGTGTGAGGAGCCACAATCAAGCGGATCCAGCAGCTTCTGAGCATTCAGATGAGAGAAAAACTAAGAAACTATCTGATCATGGCTCTCGGGCCTCAGTAGTGGGTACTGCTTCTTCAAAATACAAAACGGTAGCAGTAAGCGCCACAAACGTTGGCCAAAGTCAAGAGGTGGGCACTCCTAAGACATGTCAATCAAAAGCACTGTCAGTACAAAAAAGGGAAAAGCTGTACAAGTGCAACTTGTGTACTTATAAAGCCAATTTTCGAAGATACCTGTATGTTCACTACAGAAACACTCACAAATTGGATGCACTTACTACATACAAGCTGCTGGAGAAGTATAACAAATGTAACCACAAGCTACCTAATGCTGACTCTAAGGAAAGCATAAAAGTCAAATGTAAAAAGTGTCCAAACTTGATGTTTAACTCATCCCGGCTGCTTATTGCTCACTATAGTACTTTTCATTGCCCAGCGTGGAAGTTGGATTTTACTGTGTTATCAGAAAGGTCACACAGGAGCACAGGGATTTACAAATGCACCCACTGCAAGAAGCGGATAAATGGAATTAGAAATTTGAGTTGTCACCTGGATCGCCATAGAGCATGGAGGAAAAAGAAGGCAGCGGCTGCAAAGACAGAAGTATCGTTGGTCATTACGACAGCACCAGAGGCCAAATCCAGTAAAGTAAGTTGACTCTTCCCATATATGCTGTGTAGTTAATTTGGTACACCTAGCTAAAGCTAATACAATCTAGTACAATAGTCCCGCAATAAATCCTCCTCCAATGAGGGTGGTAATGATCAGCTTTCGTTCAGACTGTTTCAGAGGGGTTGATTTAACTTTATGGTCATCTTTGAGGATCTAGTTTGTGCCGTAGTTGAACTGTTTTACAGAGAGGCATTTGTTATTTAGCCTAACCTCACTGGTGTACATGGGGTGGTCTAAATAATAGAAACACCTGTCAGTACAAAGCTGTACAATTCAGCCACACCCAAATGGGCATACAGTTGAATCAGCACCTCTCCAAAAACAGTTTCCAAATTTGAACAATGTCACCTTCACAAAGAGAGGCTTCATTGTTTTAGCTTGGTGTAACCTAATAAATTACCAGCTGAATGTAATCAGTTACACTCTTGTCTTTTGCTACATGCTTGAGCTGCTCTTGTTCAGTTTAAAATTTGATGACCATTGCTGTGCTTCATTTTCAGCTGTGTAGTCAAGATGAAGTGACCGTGTTAGATACTGTGGAGGAGCTGGCTCAGTGGAGTGTGACACCAGTAGAAACCTTCACTTTGCCAGCAAGTCCTCAGTCCTCTCCTTCAAATCCCACTGAACTAGAGCAACCAGAGCTGGAGTCAAGAAAATACAAACACACTTGCAGCCAGTGTGCTCGGACATTCATGTCACTGACAGGTTTGCGGTCACATGAGCGCAGCCATGCAGCCCTGGCGGCCATCAAGAAACTTGACAATCTGCCTCCCTCAGCAGTAAAGTCCAAGTAAGAAGTAACTTTGGTGATTATTCGGTTAAGAGTTAGGAGCAAAAGGAAAAAAATGACCAGAGTAAGACATACTGTACATTCAATTAGCATTACAAATTAATGCTTTCGCAGCATGGTTAATAAAGCATTATTAGTACTTTGTTCAACAATACAGTTTTAAGGTATTAAATGAAAAATAGCCTACATTGCACAAATTTGATGTCTTTCATATCAGAACACCCAACATTTACATGTACCCGATTAGCTGCAGGAGATTGTCTATGACTGAATGCATTTTTTTGCCATTTTTTCAACAGCGTTAACAAATACGTCCTCTACAAACCTGGGACTTTAAGGCCTTTCCGATGTAGTTGCTGTCCCTATCGGACAACCTTGATGGGTATTTGGAGAAGTCATTTTATGAAAAACCATCAAGGTGAGTAATCAGTATAACCATTAGCTAACGTTCATACAAGCTGCTGCAGTGGTATCATGTTAATATGATGTGTCATGTATTTTTAATTTTTTTTTTTTTTTTATCTGCTGACAAATATCATCCCAGAGAATACATTTAATCATCAGAAAGTTCGCAGATTATCTTGAGCAATATGTGACGCATTCAAGGACATCTCGGCATAACATGTTTTTAAAATGATCTTTCATTAGCTTAAAATGAGCTGCCAGTTTATTATTAGGTATGCTCTATCTAATGCAACTATCCTGCAATAAATGCTACCTTCAGGAAGGTTAGTGTAGACAAAATCTACTCAACTACACATTACACTGCACTTGCTTAAGGATATTTCACGTTAAGTTTTTCTCTCTTTCATTCCATGTTCGTGCTGCTGCTGAATGCCCAGATGTCATTATGGATCCTACTGAGATTGACATCCAACATGAGGAGAGCACTCAGAGGACTGACAAGGAGCCTCCAAGTTTATCAGAAGAAAATAAATATTTGCCCGAACCTGCTGAAGAACATGAAATGATCAAAAGCAAGTCTTACCTTTTTTATTTTACAAATCAAAATATGTGTAAAATACACACTTTTTGCATTAGTGGCCATATTGACTGAAGCTGGTTTGTTAAACTTTGACAGAATCGCTGTACTTGGAGTCCCCAGATGTGCAGCGGCAGTTGAACCAGTACAGCTTGATGGCGCAAACTGGTTTCTCATCTAAAACAAATCTGCAAGAAACCATGTTACCTGAGAGCAGTCTGCTTCACTGCGAGCTCTGCAATTTCAGCACTGGACACCTGTCGAGTGTGCGACGACATTACCTAAACCGCCACGGAAAGAAGATCCTCAAGTGTAAAGACTGTGACTTTTTCACTGGTATAAGGTAAACTACAGCCAACATTTTTCTTAATATAAAAAAAAATGTTTTCCCACTTATGGTTTAATTTTATTTAGTGTACTGCCAAAAATGAGTTGCTTATAAGGATGGGACGATGTGATTTTATATATTTTTTTTCTCTATAGGATTCAGTGTACAGTTCAATGCAGTCACCATGCAGTGACAAATTGATTGGCAATAACGTATGATTAGCTGCAGAATATTTATAATTTATCTCTCTTTTTTTCGAAATCGAGTTGGCATTTGTTATTAACCTTTCATTTAGGACTGACAGCAAGAATTGTCTGCAAACTTTCTCCACATTTTGAAACTGACATGTGTTCTTGTCACCTGTTTCTGCTGCCTTTTACTAGGAAAACCTTGGAAGTGCACATGGAGACTGGTCACTCTACCTGCCAGTCAGAACCCACTCATCAGAAGGACCTCCGCTGCCCTTTCTGCCTCTACCAGACCAAGAACAAGAACAACATGATTGATCACATTATCTTGCATCGTGGTAGGCTGGCTGCTCGACAAGATTCAGTACTGCCACACACGCGGGTCATTATCTGTCATGTTATGTTTAATTCCTTTGTTTCTGTTGATTTCAGAGCAGCGTGTTGTGCCAATAGAGGTGCGGCGCCCAAAGCTATCACGATACCTTAAAGGTATCGTCTTCCGGTGTCACAAATGTACTTTCACAAGTGGTAGCGCTGAAAACCTGCGTTTGCACATGATGAGGCATGATGACATCAAACCCTACAAGTGTCGGCTGTGCTACTTCGACTGCACTCAGCTGAGCGACTTGGAGGCACACCTGAGTGATAAGCATCAGGTGAGGATTTGTTACTAAAGCCCTTTATGCATCAATAGGATTCCTGTGTGTCTGGAGAAATACATTAGCCACTTCGAATGTACTGGAATTTTAAAACATAAAGGGAATTCAGGACAGCCTTTTTTTTTTTTTTTTGGTTCACATTTTCAATAGTGAATGTAAAACTTCATGGTCCTCACACAAAATTATTCGGCATACCAACAGACAATAAAGTTCTCCATTTTATAATATGTATTAGAGAGTGGATCAGGCCGCGTATTTCTGTCCGAACCCGATGCAGTTGAGTTTTTATCATTAAATGAAGCAGACGTTTGAATTCTTGTACATCGGTAGTTTGATTATTTATTTATTTTTTTATTTTTATTTTTATTTTTTTATCAGGTTATAAGAAATCATGAGCTTGTGGGTCATGTCAGCCTTGATGAGCTAGAGGAAAGGATTGGTACAGTGCCAGAAGAGGAAGATGAAACATTGTCTAACTTGGAGCACAACAACTGTGAGGATGAAGAAACGGGGGAGTTTGTTACAGACTGTAATGAAGTTCCACACGAGACACTAGCTAAGAGCCTGGCAGAAAGTGACATCAAGGAGAAAAGTGAGCAGGACCCACAAGAACAAGCAGGAATCGTTTCCTTACCTGACACTGCAAGAGGACAGGGGATTAAAAATATAGTAGAACAAAATGTTGGGAAATGGGGCAATGCTGATATCCAATTTGTAGATTGCAGTGTTCCAGAGGAAGAGAACCATGCCCAACCTAAACCAAGAGGCCACGAGGACAGCAGTATAAAGTTCACACAACAAAAAAATGAGGGAGCAGCGGGGAGCTCAACAACCTATTGTAAAGTAACTGAAACAGCACAGGTCCAAAAGCTACATAGTAAGACAATTCCACAAAGAACGCTGAACAAGGAGGCTAGGGTAGAAGGAGATGTACTACCACATACCCTAGTGTCATATGAGGATGGCAGCATCAATAAGATGCACAAGAAGGCTGATCAGGGTGGAACAGTTAAGATGGAGCAGGACACTGAGACCGAGATTGAAGATAATATTCAAAATGCGATCCAGTTGCTGGATGAAAAGGGCAGCATCACTTTGGTCCCCAAAAATCAAGCTAATATGGAGGAAATTTCAGTGTTTACAAAGAAAAATTACATGTTGGCCAATAACAACAGGGCTCATCAGGGCAGCCCAGGTGTCTCATTTACAAACTGCAAAGAGGAAGAAGTGCTCAATCAACAAAGCAGAGAGGATGAATCGGACCATTTTGGAGAAATGCCTGTGCTCAAGCATCGTCTTAAAGAGGAAATGTCTCCTCTTGGATGTTGCAAGGAAGAAGAAGAAGAGACTGATGATCTTGTACAGGAGCAGGACACGGAAGAGGAGATGATCCCTGAAGATGAGAAGCGTCAGGAGCCTGAGGAGGGACACAATATAAAGGAAGCTGACAGTCCACATGTGCACAGAGGTGAGTGCACAGTGAGGTGACTTTAAATTGACCACACTGAATGTAAATAAATGATTATTAATTGCAGAAACATACCAAGTGTTTGAATCCATTGTGAAGGGCAACACCAAACCGGCATCATACAATACCTACGCCCATCGTTTTCTAAATAAAGCTGTCTAGGCTGTGTAACAGCAGTAGTGCAAGTTAACTGCACGTCACACTGAGAGATGGGTCTTCATCTCAGTTGCTGTCAGGCAATACGATATCAATTTGAGGACAAAGTCACATCAGCTCCATATTTACCACTCTATACAGCTCTTCCAGGTTTTTTTTTTTGCCAGTTACACAGACCCTCACTTTCATTATTTTGATTTTATGTGATTCTGACTGGTTTGTTTGTAGATGTCAGTCAGTCAGCAGCAATCACACTGTGAAAACTTGGCCCTTTAATTCCTAACACTAAATTTTGCCTCTGGTTGTCTTTAGTCGCAAAAACTTAAAATCAGTCATAGTTGGAAGTGTCTCACGGTGCAATCCAGGACCGCTGTTTTTGACTAACCCAAAGTCTGTTTACATCTTAGACAGCCACAAGGAGTCTTCAGCCTCCACTCCAGCCATAGGTTAGTCTGAGCTGTTGCATGTCATACATACCTTGGGCGTAGTTTTTTGCTGCTCTCAAATAGAGAGGAGTAGAAACTACAATAGTGAACCCTTTGGAATAACAAGCATGATTATATAATGTTGTAAAATATGGTCAGATCTTCATGTTATAATTATGAACAAATCGCTGTATTGTCCATATTGAATAAATTAGTGTAGGTTGGAAGAAGCACTGTATGTGATCCCTGGGCTAATGCCATCAGCAATAACTAAGTGCAGTCAGGAATTGGCACCTTGACACTCCAGAACACTACAGGGAAGTATTTTGTGGACTGGTGAAACTAAGCTAGAACTGTTTGAGAAGCACACACAGCACTACGTAGGCTACATGCATGAGGTACAGTGGAGGCAGCAGCATGATTTGGGACTGCTTTGATGCATGTGACCCTGGACAGCTTGAAATCATCAAGAGGAAAACAAATTTCTAATTAAATCCATGTACCTCACAAGATAATCTGGTGGCTGTTTACAATGAAACTGCATCTTAGCCGAGGCTAGGCAATGCAGTCATCGTACCTAAGAATATGGCTGAGCTGAAGCAGTTCTGTGAGGAAGAAGGGACCAGAGTTCCTCCTGAATGTCATTCAGATGTGATCCACAGCGTTCGAGGAGCTTTGACCAGTTATTAAACACAAGGATTCACTTGTTTAAATTAGCAGTACTGTGAATATTTAATGTGTTTGATAAAACACATCAAATATTATAAAGGTTTGTGTAATATTAGCTTTGGCATGTTGTTTATACATGTGACTTGGAGGAAGATCAGATCACGTTTTATGAGCATTTACTGATGAAAAATTAGTCATTCCAAAGTGTTCCCATACTTTATCACCTCTGCAACTAGTCCTGTGTGGGTTTTGTCCTTTTATGTCATGCCTGGACATGCTGTATGAAACAACAGACTTCATTCCTGCATACCAAACGTGATGACAGTCAGGCCATTCCATGCAGTGCATACCCGAGTCTGGAAAGCCCTTTCTGATCATTGTGATGGTTTAAGATTTAGTCATCTAAACGTTCATGCATAAAGGTTCCAGTTTTTCCAATGTGAGGATTTTCTACCTTTCTCTGATGCTGTGGTAAATTGGATTTCTTTGGAGTTTTTATTGCTGAACACCATTAAATGTTTTGGTCTTCTTGGATATTGACCATCATTTTTCACTATTTTCTGACTGTTTCCAAGAAAGAAAAAATCAGCAGCTTAAATGTTAAACAGTTGTGGGTTGCAGCCCTACTTTGGGAAATGACCTGTGACACCAGCCTGAGTTCACTTCTCTTGTTTTTCAGATACATTCACAACCACAGATGGAGCTGCTGAAGTCCTGAGCCCATTGGCTGCAGAGAAGAAACTGTATTCTTGCGAGTTTTGTGGAAGAACCCTAATGAACAGCTGTGAACTGGAGCGTCATGTTATGCGACATGGAATATAACAGTTTCTTTATGTTTATTTATGGTGGACTGTAGAAGCAGCTTCCACTATTGACCTTTTTTATTATTATTATTTTTGGAAGATTCAATTTCATTTCCATGAATTCTCCTTATGTACAGTGTACTTGTGAACCTGTTAAACCTGTGTTTTATGAAATTTTAAGCTGTTTTTAATTGAACGTTATCCATAGAGTTAGAAAGAATGCGATTCAGTAAACAAAACTTGAGGACCAGGATGGTGACTGTATATTTTGTGGCACGTTATCATTGAGCTCTAATCTCTGTGGTGTTGTTGGGTTTTTTTTTTTTATTTGTTTTGGCCAATTTTTTTTATTACTGTACTATATGCGAAGGGAGATAATACTGCAAAACATGCAGGCCTTTACAGTGTGAGCTGTTATGTACTGTATATTCCCTGCTCATTACCGAGTGTACCCATTTCAACTCCAGACTGTGGAGGATGCTTGTGCTGCCTTCAGGTGCTGTTCAGTGTTTGAACCAAATGTGTATCTGAGGAAGCAGAGTTTGTTCAAGTACAGTATTAACAGAAAGAAAGAAAGAAAGTGATAAACTCAGTTACTTTTTACTTTTCATTTAAATAGACTTGTTTTTTCCTCACCTGATGTCTTGCTGGTGAGACTTTCCACTGTTTTTTGAACACTGAACTGCAAATAAACACGGTTTTAACACATGATGAGGTTATTACTACTATTATTATATTATCGAATAAAGGTTACATTTTTAGGGTTCTTGACTTGGTTTTAAAAAAAGCTATTTAAATACGTTATCTTGGTCTTCAGACCCTAGGCTAGTGATAAGTATGTTTGAACTATTGTTTGACATTTTATTCACCGAGCAATCAAATGATTAAAGCTTTGTTGTAAAACCTACAGATGATGAAAATAATTCCTGGTTGCAACTGTGCAGTTTTCCTGTGATGGAACAATTCTATCCTGCCTAAAGATTTACTTGATGTACAGAAAAAATTAAAGCAACTTAAAACTCAACTTTGCAACAAATGGAGTCAGTAAAAACTCAATAATTAGGGTCTTTACAAAATGTTGAGAGAATCCCTTCACAGGAGGGAATAGTCTATTCGTCAGAGTTTATATTCTTCATGGTGCAAGTTTATAACATTTGTGATTAATTGAACTGTGCCTTGCTGATCGCCTAATTAGCATTAGTAAATGATTTATTAGCCATAACTAATTACCGCTTATATATCGCTTTTATACCCCCGGTATGATCAGTTTTATTATTTCTGTTAATAATAAAATATACAAAAAAGCTGCATGAGTCCAAAAATCTTGAACGAGTATAGAGTGCGAAAAAACGAGCTAAGGAGGATGACCTGAAGGCAGCACTTTGGTCGTTGGTTACGAAACTCCTTATCCAAATGTGTGAGGCCATCGCTTCCTGGTGTGGACTAATGATAATGGACTGATGAGGTGGAGACGGTGGATCTGCTCGAGTCAGTGTGATCGCTCCAGATTCACCAATCTACAGAAACTGTGTAAGTAAAATTGGTTCTAGTGTTTCTCATCGCGTCATTAAAGATGTGTGAAAGGAAAAGTGATGTCGATTAATATTAGTCGCTCTCCCCGGATCGATATTCTGCAGAAGCAGCTACTTGTCCGAAATGCATTAATGTAATGTAAGACCAAGTTTTAAAACCAGCTCCAGTTATAAAACGTTTCCATGTCGTTGCATTTGCTGAGGAGTTCGCACCGACCAGGATAAAGTTTTTGCCCTTTGTATTTACAAGAACCACTTCCTTTTTCCTTGAGCAACACATTTTCCATCTATTTCCTGATGTGGTGACATAAATGGAAAGTCACCTTATCATACCAATAACCTGTGATGGAGGGAGTAGACTATTGGTATGTTGATACTTGGTCTAAATAACAGTAGCAATGCCACTATGGAAAATACTTTGTTACAGGTCCTTTGCTCTTTGAATGCACTCTACAGTAAATGTAATGGACCACATTTGTTTTTATGCCACTGCTGCTCTTCTAACATCTACTGTGTTTTACTTTCGAGCAGGCCAGAAGAAACACCATACTCAGTTGGAGGAATGTCAACTGCAAACAAATCTGAAGAGGATGGTGACTCATTCTCTTCGAAGGTCATCAACATTGTGTTTATCATCCTGCTGCTGGATCTGCTTGGATTTACACTGATTCTACCTCTACTGCCTTCAATTTTGGACCATTATGCCCAAACAGGGGTTCGTTTTCTTTTTCTTTTTTTAAGAAATAATATATTCTGTCTGCTTTATACTTTCAGAACAGTTAACAGTATAACAACGTAAAATGCACTTTTTAAATAAACGCATTTACTCATTACTGTCACAGCAGATATTGACACATCATTAACGTAATACTGTATTTAGAGGAAAAGGAGAGGCTGCGTATACACTAAAATGTACAACTCCCAAGTTAATATCCATGTTAATAAAACACAGGCTATACACATAGACAAAAAAATGGAAGCTCCATCTACAGTTAGGAGCTCCCATGACACATAAATGCATCTATCAATTTTCTAGTTTTTCTTTTCTCTTTCTCATAAAATGAATAATAATAATATGTTATATAACAAGGTTAAAATGTACTGTATGGGCTACACTGAGTGCTTTCTCTGTACATCTTCTCCAGTCTGAATCATCAGACTGGTTTGGAAAACACGGCTGGCAAACACAAAGTTTTTGTTTGTGTACATCACTTACACAAGTTACCAGAACCAAGTGAGAAACTGATTTACTGCAGTAAAAAGTACTTTTGACTGGGATTTACTGGACAGACTGCAGAGCTCCTCCAAACAAAGGGGCTTTGTATGAAGAACCTACTCTATAAAACCCATAACTGATTCACGAGTGATTAGATGGGCAGCTGTGTGCTGTGTTAGTGGGAGACCCTGCATGCTGACTCATGCTGAACTGACCATTTTACTGGTGTTTATAATATTGTCCCTGTGTGATGTTGCATTTTTGTGCTTTCCTACTCGGCAGGATGTTGTATATCAGTCTCTGCAGAGCGTTGTGGACTGGTTCAGGGAGGCTGTGGGGATTCCTATGGAGAAGAAGTACAACAGTGTCCTGTTCGGGGGTATATTTGATTGATTTCACCTTCATAACCTCTGACATGGAGCTGTCCTTTGTGTGACTGTATTACAGTAATACAAAGAATCTGGGTTCCAGGTCACTGGTTTAATTTTGGTACTCCTCTATTTGCCTTTCAGGTCTGATCGGCTCGCTCTTTTCTTTGCTGCAGTTCCTGGCGTCGCCTGTAACGGGGGCTCTGTCAGACCGCCATGGCAGACGACCCCTGCTCATTCTTACCACGGTGAGTGGAAGACTTACAGAAAAGAGCAGTAGTGTAGTAATATCACTACTGCTTGTCAGTCATGGAGCCATACTACCATGTCATCAGCAGTGACTCATTCTTGTCTAATTGGGTTCTTCGTGTCCCAGTTAGGGCTGATGACCTCCTATGCAGTCTGGGCCGTTTCCTGGAGCTTCAGCATGTTCCTTTTGTTTCGGGTAATTGGGGGCATTTGTAAGGGCAACGTCAGCCTCTGTACTGCCATCGTAGCCGACTTACCATCCCCGAAAGCACGAAACCGAGGAATGGTAGGCACAGAGTTTTGTGGCTATTACAGGAAATGTATTGCTGAAACAGAATATCTTAAAACACCCTAAATGTGTCAGGATGCATAGTCACTCAAGGATCCCAGTGATAATTACATATTTATCAAGACACTATGTGTCTGACCCTCACATTTCTTGTTTCTACATGATATTCTAATTAGCCAGTTTATGTCTTTGTTATTGTTAATTGTCTTAAAAGTAAACAAACTGACAGTAATGAATACCTTTTAATATATTAATAAAAATTCATTTTATTGTGACCAGGCTATGATTGGTGTTGCCTTCTCCTTGGGCTTCACTGTAGGACCTCTGATGGGTGCCTACTTTGCTCTCAGCTCAAGGACAGCAGGAAATGTCTTCTACCAAACCCCAGCTCTGCTCGCCTTGGCCTTCAGTATCGCTGATCTGCTCTTTATATGGCTTAAGCTGCCTGAGACTTTAACAAAGGATGTCAAGGTTAGTTAATGGAAGCACTTTCTCTGCTAACAGTTAAATGAGAAGATTGATGCCACTGTATGCCTGTATGATAAGCAGTAAAGTTGCAGCCAGTTAACACAACTTAGCATAAAACTGTTCGGTGTCCAAAGTCGACAAATAGTAAGGTAGTAGTAGGTTTCTCCAACGGATGTACATTTTCCTGTTTATTTCAATAAGACAGCATCTTGCTGTACTTACATGTGATACTGTAATGTAAAAGTGTTTATTTTCCAGTTTTTGTTCAGTATCATTTTCAGGTGATGATTTTCATTTTGATCATTTGGCTTGAACTTTCTTTTCAAATTTAACTCAAATCAAAAATCTATTGCTTATTGTTACTACTCAAAATAAATCTATTTATCTAATCTATCTATCTATCTAATTTGGTATTTGAAGGCTGTTGTCGCATTCAGAATGTCTCCACGCTCGGCTCAAATCTCAGTTTAATTTGTGGATGTATGACTATTATTCCATGAAATTGCTACAAACCTGGTCCAAAACTCAACTTGGACCCTCCAGTGCACATGTAAGAGAATGGATTTTTCAGTGAAGGGGGAGACATCTTGTGCTCAGTGTTTAAACACTAAACAAACACAGACTTGAAGATAGGATACATAATGATAAAATACTTAAAGGCCTGGCAAACCATACAGTGGTTTTCAGTTACTATGGCTGATTAGACCTGTGGTTAGTCAGGAAATGTAATTTCATATTAATACACAATACATAATTTATCTTGTCTCATTGTAGGCTTTGCCGTCAGGGTTTGGAGACTCCTGGGACCTCCTCAACCCACTGTCTTTGTTCCATTTTTCAACTGTTGCCAAGACAAAAGATCCACCTTCAAAAAAACGTGAGTCTGTATATACTGGATTTCTGTGTGAAGCATTGACTTACACCCATTTGACTCATTCATAAAGCATGAATAAATTTTGGCACTCTGCTAAAAGCAGGGAGGTCTTTTTACAGGAATGCAAAAGCTTCAAATGTTGGGCCTGGTTTATTTCTGCTACCTCTTCCTGTTCTCTGGTCTGGAGTTTACCCTGAGTTTTCTGACTCACCAGCGCTTCCAGTTTACAAGGTAGCAACTCAAAGATAAACCTTTGTGCTTCAGCCATTATACCATCAAACTTGAACAGCAACTTTCCATTGTTCTCTCAATAGTATGCAGCAAGGAAAGATGTTCTTCTTCATTGGTGTCATCATGGCATTGATCCAGGGAGGTTACGCTCGCAGAATCAAACCTGGGCACCATCTCAAGGCTGTTCGTATGGTAAAGTACCATCTACTTACAAAGTAGTAGAATACAACAGAGGCCTGTACAATGAAATGCTTTTTCAGTACTGATGGGGAAAGATGCACTGCTGCTCAAATGCCTGATTTAGTGAACGGTATTTCTTGTTTTTAGGCGATCACAGCATTGATCCCAGCATTTATTCTCATTGGGTTATCATGGAATGTAACGATGCTTTACCTTGGCCTGGCGTTGTACTCCTTTGGTGAGTCATGTTTACAGTCACTGTGTCTGAACAGTAAACACATCACTAGCTGCAGACCCATTTCTACAGAGCACTGTATGACAGGATATAAACAGATTTTAGAAACAGTGCAATGCACATGCCAAGATTCACAACAAGTAAAAAGGGTGAAAAATGAAAATTGCCAAGTAGCGATATTTGTGTATCTAGTATGAAAAGTAGAATATGACCAATGCAAACAGCATCCTGAATGTTACATATCTGGTTTTAGCCCCACCTTCATTCCAGAGCAAAGGGCTTTAACAAATCCTAGTGTTGTTTCATATATAACAGAATCTCTCAGAGTGACTTAGAAAAAGCAATAAATGAATAAACAATGTAGTGTTTGTACTGAAAGTAGATTTTTTTTAATGATCTGATTCTCAAACATGTTTTATAATGTATATAAATAATGTTGAATTGTAATACTTAAAAAAAAAACAACAAATAATTACACCCCATGAAAAAGAGAGATGATAAAATAATGATATGGAGAGGATGGAGAAATTGCATCTGCACAGAAAATTTGGAAAGTATTAACTCAATCAATAAGGAATAATGACTGACACAAAAAGGAGAGAGCTTGGCTATATGTGGTTTTTAATACTCAGACTCACTCGTTAATACCTCAGGTTGTATGTTATTGTATTATATGTTCAAAATATTTTTATGTGATAATGTTTTAACTATTTGCCAGCTATAATGTATCTCAAGAGACTTCCCAGTTAAATAAAAAAATACTGTACTCCATCATTTCATTGGTATGATCATATCAGACCATGATTCAAAAATATACCTAAACATATGTTTATGTTTTATGTGACTCCTGTTGTTGCAGCGGCCGCCATAGTTGTTCCATGCTTGTCAACGCTTGTTTCTGACCACGGTGAGCCTCTTATTGTTTGAACTCTCAAACGGTTTTGATTATACAGTAATTTTCACACTGTTACTGATCATCTACTGTGGATTTTGCTTCAGGTTCAGCCAATCAGAAGGGCACAGTGATGGGGATTCTGCGTAGTTTGGGTGCCTTGGCCAGAGCACTGGGACCAGTTGTATCATCCTCTGGTAAGGAAGATTTGATAATGAGACAGAAGACAGTACTAATGACCAATTTATAATCTAGATTTGCAGATAGTTTTGTGTATCCTGCTTTTGTGAAATCAAATGCTCGAATATCTAACTTAGCTTTTCTATAATGCCCCAAATGATACTAAAATTTGTGATTAATAGATTGACTTTAAAGAACACTCAAGTCACTGAATTTGAGACTGAACCATTATCTTTGAATTTATTTCCAGTGTATTTGGTTTACCTGTTGTGTTTGCTTCCCAGTTTACTGGATCGCTGGAGCTCAGACCTGTTTTCTCCTCACATCAGCCTCTTTCATTATACCCCTAGCTCTGCTGAGCACAGCCAGGAGGATAAAGGAGGAGTGAGCAGAGTGAGACAGATTGAAGATACATCTTATCTTTAGTTGCTTTAATGATTGTTATGATGTTACCATCTGCTGGGAAAGCAAGCACTGAGTTATAATAGAACAATAATAAACAGGTGTATACCTTCTGTGCTGCTGGCCAAGGATCATCACATGAAACAAAATAATGCAAGAAGGTGATACACATGCATATGTGTATTATGGACTGCATGGGTGTGGGTGGGTTACAAGTAACATAACTTTTGGAACAGAGGTATTATTTTATAATGCAGTTTTTTTATCAGTCACTCAGATTTTGTATTTTACATTATAACCTTTTTAAATCACTTTAATTAATTGTAATTAAAAAATAAACACACAAGTCAACATCTGTCTGTGGGAATTATTATCTTAGTAACATTGTTTTTTTAAAACAAGGTTCAGAATAATCTTGACTGCATTGGTGGAAAGTAAATAAGTACTGCACTCAATACAACTTTGAGGTATCTGGACTTTATTATTTATGCATATATTCCTTTTATACTTTTATTTAGTGTACAGTTTATAGGAACATCCTTATTTGTACTAAATTTATATTTATCATTGGACTAATCTGTTATGAAAACCATGGGACAAAACGTTCCTGTTGGGCCGTTGTCACACACACACATATTTATTCAGAAATATTTGAGAACGAAGCACAAAATAAACAAAGGAATAAAGGTGCTGAAACAATCTGCAGTTTATGGCAGCATGCCTCTCAATACTGGAGTCGCAACATTAAGTACCTCATAATGCAGGGAATACAATGCAATTTAGATGTTGCTTTAATGGTGCAAATTCCCTATAGCAAATGTACAGTTACTCAAATGAACAAAAACCAAATGATTGCGATAAACCTGGAGGTGTGGGGCCCCATGTGGTAATCCAGCCTTCTGTACATCATTGTTTTCATCATAGTTTTAAATATTGTATTTAACTAAAAGATCTGAGTACTGTACTTCCACCCCTGCTTTGTTGATCAAGCATTCTGTCTGTGAGCTTTATGTTCAACAGCACTGGCTGTGAGAACACTGTGTCAGTTTGTGAACTTTTTAAATACTTGCCCAGTTAAAATGTGACCTTAAAATACTAAAGTTATCAACTTTATAAAGACGTTACTGTACATTTTGTTGGTGTACTTAGTGACTTTAGAGAACTTACTCTATGATGCCAGTGGATGTCACTGCAGGGCCTCCTCACTGATACCTGATGCAAGCATCAGTCAGGTCCAGTAATAATACAGTGGCTGCTTAGGGAAACACTATGCAGTTACAACAGACAGGACAGATGAAGTGACTCTTTTAATGACAGCATTTATTGCTGTTTGCTCCAAAGGCCGAGCTGCAGCGGCTCTGCCTGGCAGTGGTTATAATATTCATGTACGTTCATCCGTCAAATACCAATGTGTCGTAGCCAGATTCCTAAAAACAAGCACAGCCGTGGCTACAGCCACATCCGCACCTACAGCCTCAATCACGTGTCAATACAAAAAGTATTATGAGGGGCTGAGAAAGTACGTCCTAGTGTGACCCTAAGGGGCCTCCGTAGGTCAAAGTAGCAGTTGAGGCTATGTTAATACAGGGGCTGTCATAGATAAATGTCGCACCTTTGTCGAAGGCAGTTGACACATGGAATATCGAGAGGACGTGGAAATGTGACTGCATGTAGGAAAGCCTGAAGATGGACAAGGTAGTTAATATAATTGTTGTTGTTTTTTCGGGCTAGATGGAGAGCTAGCTAGTAACATCAATGTACGCTAATGTGAGTGTACATGTAAGTGAGCGTGAGCAAACTTTGCCAGTAAACATCCTAGGTGGTTTTACCAGGCCAGTAACATGTTAACTAAGACATTTCGTAAGTCGTTACTTGTGTTACCTAGCTAGAAGTTAGGATTGTGAAACGTAAGCTAACAAGATGTTAATTCGTGATAAATCATTTAGCAAAATAATAATTAGTTGTACTTGTATCAGGAGTTGAGCTTGACACGTTTCGACAGAATGAAGCGTGCGTTTAAAATATGTATAAAGTGACTGGTGTTGAACTAACTTGAAGTGCAGCCAGTGACGTGATTGTCAAAGGTCGCTTTTTAGCAGACTGCTGACAGGCCACGTTTTCTTTACCCAGGAAAGCTAACTGTCATCTGGTGTCCAGTCTTTTAACCCTAAACACCAGAGGAGGCAGAGAATGGAGCCTAGAGAGCCCCATTCGTCTTCACCGCCTCCTCTGGTGTTACCACATCCATATGTGTCCGAGCACATTTCAAGAGGGTAAGAAGATAATGACTGGCATATTTTTTTTTATACCTTGGTCAAATAAGTCAACAAGCACCTGTGTGAATTATTTAGCTTCTTATTTTTGTACATTTCTGAACATTGTCAAGGGACCGGTCAGGTCTGAGCCCAAAGCCACCAGGAAAAGCAGATATGTCAAGAAGTCATGGCTACAGCAGCAGCCGTCCTGTCAGACAGACCACTGATGATTTCCCACAGAGAGACAGGTCCATAAGGGGTCCACAAGCAAAAGTCAGTTTCATTTTGAGTACCAGATAAATAGATTTTTAAAAACCTTCTTCATTAAATTAATTGCAGTGATCTTCACCCATTTCTGCAGACATCCAGGACAAATAATGGCTCTTCTACTCAAGGCAAAATCATGGGCAAGAACTCACTGGATGCACAGAAAAGAGGTAGTTATTCCAGCTGAATGGTGAAAATAGCCTGGTTCCTATCAGAAAGTTGTAATTGTTTTTTAAAATCTTTGGGTGACCATGACACTCCACTCAGTGGAAATTAGTAGCAGACATTTGCTATAACCATTTGCAATTGATCCTTAGGTTTTAGAGGTCTCAGGTCTGCCTCAAACTCTGCGGGGAAGTCAAAACCAACACAGAATGACTTGGTGCCTTTTGAGGTGAAGATGTCTGATTTTCCGGAGTTAGGTGGTGTTTTGCCAGGCAAAGCAGGTTCTCCTCATGTTCAGAAAGAGGGCTGGGCTCCATCTCAGACATCCACAACCCCTCAAATGCAGACACTGGCATCTGCCTGGAAGGTGGGCTCAATGAAATATCACGTGATATTGTGTATTTTGAAACAAATTCCTCATGGATGCAGAGTTATAAGATTTTGATGCTATTGTGTGTGTTTTGTTTTTTTTAAGTCTGGCATGAGCAAACCCCCAGCGCATGCTGAACCCCAACAACCTGCCACTCATGCTAAGCCAGATTCCTCTGCTTCTTCACCAGGTAAGTAAAACTCCCAGTAGTCCACCTTTCAATTACAATAATATTATTTACTTATAGTAGTCTGTCTTTCAATTCCAATAAGGCAGTGTCAGTAATATTATTTACTTATTGTGAGCAGGTCAGACAGTGGCGACTTCCTGGGCCAGTGTTGCCTCTCAGCCACCAAAGCAGCCTGTCCCTAAGGAGAAGACAATCAGCAGCAACCAGATGCAGGTGTGACATGTTTGATTTAGACTCTGAACATAAAAGAATTGAATACAACTCTCTGAAAAAGGCTTTTCAAAAGTCTTGCATTTTATTTTCTGTGTTTATGAATATTTCTTCTCGCCTTTCATCAACTATAATGTTAACTTTGTCTGTATGTACTGTTGGGAGAGGTTATTCTTCTGTCAATTAAAATGACAAATACAACAGTGGATTGTGCTGAAAGAGGCCATTTAATCCTTTTTGTGCAGCTAAAATGTGAGACTATTTAGATGCAATAAATCATGGTGGTCAGCCTTGTTTCTAGGTCTGTCTGCATTGCCATGCATTGAAACATTGTTTTTTCAGACAGAGGATACTACTGCACAGCATGAAGTGGGAGCTCCAGGAAAGAAGAAACAGAAGAAAAAGAAGAAGAAAGCTGAATATGCAGAAGCTGAGGCAGAAGATGCTGTAATTTATCGGGAGCCTCCAAAATTTGAGGTAAAAAAAAAAAAACTGAGTTCAAAAACATAATTCATTTTTAATCATGGAAAATAAATGTGGATATTTTTTGTCAGCTTTTGGATTGATTACATGATTTATGTTGTCTTTGTATCTTGTCAGGATGAAAAGGAGTTTCCAGGTTTGACCCTTGCTTCGACTAGGACCAGCAGAAATGCAGCAACGCTTTACAGCGAGGTGCATTAAACCTTCCACATGTTCCTTAGTAATTATAATATGTCTTTTTAGAGTTTGCTACATGCTTTTTACAGGGATGGAAAATGCACTATTCAACATGTGGAGCCCATAGATTGTCACTAAAATTAGACTGTATATAATTTGAAAAAACATATATTAATTTACTTTTCAGGAAAACCAAAGAAAAACTGCTCAACAAACAGATGCTGACCAGATTCTCAACAAAGAAAAGCCATCTGCAGCAGAAACAGTTAAAAAAGGACAGGTTTGTATTTTCATCTTAATTTTGAAAAGGTTGTCTTTTGATATTTATTTTAAAGAGAAAACCATATAGACTGTGCCTAGTTTGTAACCCCCTGATTTCTAGAAAGCTGAAAAGGTCTCGGGGAAGAAGAGCAAAGCTCCTGTTCAGCTGGATATAGGAAATATATTGGCTGCCCTGGAAAAGAAGCAACACCCGCAAAAACCCAAGCAGGATGCCAAGCCAGTCATTCTCTCAGGTGGGTTATGGTCATCATCTTGGCCCCTGGAACAATGGGTTTCTCATTTCTTTCCCTTTGTAGTGCATCTAACTGTGTATTTTGGCTGATACACTTATTTAAAAAGGCATTTTTGGGACTGTAGTCAATAATCCAGATTTGTTAGTGCAAGGTATTGAAACGTAGCTCAGGCTAAGTCTCTTTTAAAATGACTTCTTTGTAGTTGGTGGAGGACTACCTATTGTCCAGAAGCAAGTGTTCATCCAAAAGAAGCCACCTTGGCAGAAGGATAAAATTGCACACAATCCCCTGGACTCCACCAGCCCTTTGGTGAAGAAAGGAAAACAAAGAGAGGTACCCAAAGCCAAGAAACCCACTCCTCTCAAGAAGGTAAGTCCACTCAGTTACTCTGGAGTAAAGACACACAGCACTTTGTAAGAATGTGTTAGTTTATGTCTGTGTGATCCTAAGGTCATTTTGAAAGAAAGGGAGGAGAGAAAACAGAGACGTTTGCTGGAGGAGAGAGGTCTGCTGCCAGAAGATGAGTTCAAACCTGTTAATGAAGCTGCAGAAGAAGAACAGTGTGACACAAATCCCACAGGTCAGTAATGAGTCCCACAGCAAGTAAACACAGCTTAGATTTAAGTAGTAGTAGGAAATCTTTGAGTATAGGTGATATTTGATGTGCTTTTGAAATCTCAGATGACATTGAAAGTCCTACTGAAGAACTCGATGATCAGTCTGAGTTTAATGGCACAAATCAGATGGTGAAACAAGAGGAGGAGACTGACACAGACGAGATTGTAACACAGCAAACCACTTCACCTGTGTCCTGTGCCGTCAGTCATCCCAAAATCCACAGCAGAAAATTCAGAGAGTAAGGCTGAAAAAGCATCATGCTCCACTGTATACCTGATCTTTGTTGGCTGTTTTTATGTGTCCGTGATGTGTGGCTAAGAAATCAGAAAACATTTAATGTCACAGAATACAGTTCACTTGTTTTGTTTCGTTTTTCCTCAAATTTCTGCTAATTTGAAATGTGTACTGTTGTACATGTCAGCTATTGTAGCCAGATGCTGAGCAGAGATGTGGACCAGTGTGTGACGGCTCTGCTAAAGGAGCTGGTTCGTTTCCAGGACCGCCTGTACCAGAAGGACCCAATGAAGGCCCGCATGAAGAGACGGCTGGTAATGGGGCTGAGAGAGGTCCTGAAGCACCTAAAACTCAGGAAGGTCAAGTGTGTCATCATCTCACCCAACTGTGAACGAATCCAATCCAAAGGTATTGTGTCTGTGTGAGAGCTTCACTGTGTATGGCTTCAGGAAGTTTATTTTTTATAGTGTTGGATCTTTCTCTTTAATACTGCCAGTCTGTACCTTACAAGAACAATCCTTATTTTATTAAGTTTGGCCTTGTTCTATTTGTATGTGGTTACATTTTAGTTTAATTGGGGTGAATATTAGTTCTAGTGCTTTTTTTTTTACTCAAATATTGGGCTAATCTCTTTATTATGATGCTCAGAAATCATATCATTTTCATTATTGATTTATTACTCTCTAAAATGTCAACAACGTACATCATACTTTGAGCTTTCAGAACAGAGAGGAGATGAAGTGATTCAGCTTTTGGTGCCTGCATGTGGATGGAAATCTTTACAAAAACAACCAATTTTAGTAGACATCTACAAAAACTATTATACAGTATGCCTTTCTTTGTCATCTAATAGTGAATGGAACATTTTGGGCTTTGACACTTGTTCGGACAAACCAAGCTACAGGAAGGGCTGTGACAAAGGCAGTGATCACAGTGTGGACTCGTAGTAACAGAAAGATGCCTCCTCATTTTAACTGCTGAGCAGGCTAATGTCATTTTTTGGAAAGCTAAACTTTCCCTAGCAGTATTTTCAGATTTATCCGTTTTTGAACAGGCCTCATCTTGGGTGTGAAAATGACAACTTAGTGTGGAAATGTCTGAAGTGAAGAGAAAGTAAATGTGTGCATAGTCTGATCATGACAGTTTTACACATTTATCAATTTAGATGTAGGATTAACTAGGTACAAATGTGTTCTGGCTAAAGCCACGGAATACTTGTGATACTGTAATTCATGGCAAAATGTCCCCTCTCACAGGTGGCCTGGATGAGGCTCTCCACACCATCATTGACACGTGTCGGGAACAGGGGGTGCCTTTCGTGTTTGCCCTCTCCAGGAAAGCTTTGGGCCGCTGCGTCAACAAGGCAGTGCCTGTCAGTCTGGTGGGCATCTTCAACTATGATGGTGCACAGGTCAGGTTTACTATACACTAATCACTAACAAAGCAGATGTTCTTCAAATCTGCCATAATGCTATTACAGTGGAAATATTAAACGATTCTGACCATGAAAGAAGATGTATTTTTTTGACAAGCTAAAACCTTTTGTTTTTTCTTGCAGGACTACTATCATAAGATGATTGAGTTGTCGTCTGAGGCCAGGACAGCCTATGAGGTCATGGTGACGAGCTTGGAGCAGCCGGACCAGGACCAGGCGGAGGCAGAGCTGGAGATGAACAGGGAGAAAGAGCTGCAGATAAACAGCCTGGGTGAGCAGGCTGAGCCCTGTCCAGATTCCACACAGTCAGAGGAACCAGAATACAGTAAGTTACTGTCCCAACCCACTACTGGTAACATCTGTTCTTTGTTTATATTTGTGTGAGATAAAATCAAATGAAAGCTGTAATTCTGTCACTTGACCAATGAAATCCACTTTAGGGAATATGTACTATATTTGAATAAGAGAAGAGTTGGTAAAACGGTTCACCACTGAAAGTCAGATAAAATAATTATCTTTTTGTATTTCTTCTTCCAGTAAAAATTTGGAAGAAAATTTTGGAGAAGAACTACAACCAGAAATGTTTGAACTTTGAGGAGCAGCTGGGCTCCATGCACTTGGACAGTGAATGTACAGAAAACACTGACGATGAGAAGAGTTGACAGAGGCGACGCCTTCTGTGTGTCAAAAAAAAAAAAAAAAAACTTGCTCGTGCTGCTCAGACGAGCACTAGGATGGACTTGAATCCCACATGGCGGAAAAGACATGATGGTCTGGGGATTTTTGTCAGGCAATTAATCATGTTGCTAATACTTACAGTGAATTATGAACTCCTTTATGTTCTTTTGTTTGAGTTCAAGATAACTGGGCAAAGCTGTGACATTTAAAAGTGTGTGTGTGTGTGTGTGTGGGGGGGGGGGTTATACTGGGACCAATCTGGTCACTTAGCGATCTAACAATATGAACTTTCAACCATGCTGTTTATGAACACACCTAGAGGATGTGTAAGGCTCGGTGTATTAACTGTGTGTAGAATTATCAGCCACTTATTCGGGACTAAATCTGTGATAATGTGACACTGAACATTGCACAGACTTTAGCTCAAGAGCCACTGTGTTGTTACTGTTATTTAGTTGAATATTTTTAAACTAAAGTGTTTAAAGGATTATTTTCAGGTATTTTATTATTTTTATTTGAAAGAAACAGAGAAATAATAGGAAAGATGGTGAGATTGGAGAGGTGACATGCAACAAGGGTCTTCAGTCAGACTCAGTTCAGCATCTTATATGGGCTGAATACAACTTCGTACCTGTGAAATGAAAGGTTGTGTATCACCCCTTGTAAAACTGTGGAATCAAACATGAGAAATTCAAAATTTGTGAATGTGGAAAATAAATTGTAGGAACTTGGTGCTGCTTTTTGGTTGTCAAAGCAAGGCCCAAATTAATTCTTTAAGCTCTTACATATGCACTAATTCCATGCATTTTATATACAGTACATTATAGAATACATTGTTTTTGCTGTTAGTATACAAGAAAACATACGTATTCATTATGTACTAACAAGAAATTGTACAATATGATTACTAAAATACATCAGTAGAGTAAAACAACAAGGATTTTTAGTTTTCCTAGGGACTGTCTGAGTATACTGTGTCACCTTTCCCATATGAATGCACAATATATGCAAAACCTTTCTATAATTTGTGTGTAGTATGGATTTGGCACGCAGCTTGTACTCTTGTTTATCTTCAATGTTGCACTCAGTGTGGTAACTTTTAAGCACAGTTTCAGATATTTTTTTTTTCTACAGCCACAAATTGCTTCTACACATTCTGAGTGTTGTCCACAAGTTTACAAAGGGTCACAAGCTCAAAATCTCCCCACAGTTTCAAAGCCTAAGCCATCACGATGCCCCTTGGTTCAGTTTAGAAGTAAAAATGAAGCTGTGCTCTTTATGTGCATAAGACATGAAATTACTTTTTACATAACAGCTCAGAACAGTATAGCTTTTGTCCTTGGTTGTGCTACAAAGTTGAGCTTGTATTTTTGATTTGTGCTTGACAGCGTAAGAGTTGCATGCTGAATTAGGTGTAAATGGTAGTGTTTGATTTAAGTGGGAAATAATGGCAAACTAATAAGAAATATTACCTGTTGTTAATTAAAAAGATGTTCTGTTTTCCCACCTAGTGAGGAAAAGAAAGCTATAAAATAGCATTGAGATATTAATCTAAAGTGCTAGGTGACCATCGTATGCTCAAAGCGCCATTAAAGGACAATTATTTGAAGCAGGCAACTTCAGTTTACAGTTAATTCAGATTTCAAAGGACTGAGACAAAGATTATAGGGAGAGAAGATGATTATGATTTATAAAGAGTTGTCATTCTAATTTTGAAGGAGAAATGACTAATATAAACATTTAAGTTGTGGAAAGGTGGTATAAATGTCTGATGAAAAAAGGATTTTAGTGAGTCCCTTTGCTAATTGGTTGGGACTGGATTAATGTAAGTCAGGCCTGATGAAGTGTTGCCGAATTAAATCTCGGTACAATTCTACAAGGAGGAAGAGGAGGGTAGTCAGCGTGTTAATGTTACAGTAATAGGCCATTTTCATGTCAGAGGTTTTGACATGTCACAAAAGGAAAAACAGGTGTGACCAATAGTTTCGGGATTTGGATATGCCACATGCGGCAGAGTCATTAATTAGTGACAGCTGTGCTTTTCTTGCTATCACAAGCCAAAGTGTTTGCTTTAGGATAAGTTTTATGTAATCTTGTGTTGGAATAAAATTAAAAAAAAACTTGACATTTTGAGGAATATACTTATTTACTTTCTGGAAATAATAGAACAAGGAATATTTATTCTTCAGTTTAAATGCTTTTTTTTCCCCCCCTGAGGTGCCCCATTATCATATACATTGTGGAGGGATTAAGCATCATGTTTTATCAGAAAGAGGCAATTTAATTCAGATGTTTTATTTTTATTTATCACTGAGAGGCAAAAATTATCCTGGGGTTAAACTGCACCATGCAAGGTCAGATCAGACCAAGTGCTTAAAATGTACAAGGAGCAAACTTTACAATTCTTTATCTACTATCTTGTTTCTAGGAAACAGATACTCTGTCACCAATATCATTAGCATTTATCCTCAAGAGACCCTCAGATTTCCACAGCAATCTATCCAACATTTGTCAAGATATTCCACTCTAAACCACAATTGTCAACTTTGAGGTGGTGCAAGAGGAAAGGTCAGCAGATCACCAAAGTCAGTGTGATTCATCCTTTTGTGACTTTCAATGTCTGTGCCAAATGTCGTGGTAATCCATCTGATGATAATAACAAAATTATAGAAAGTCTCCAGCCTTTTTCTTTAAACAGTGAATCACTACAATCATTGGCCATTTATATTGGGACACTGCATATGAAACAGAGTTTACATTAAAGGTGGTACAGGGATTGTCTCTACATATCCGCTACCAGTTAGTTGTATGCACACTCCCCCTGTACTGGGTCTAGTTACATGAGGATTTCTTGGCTTCTGATCTGTCCAGTCTGTGTTGTGGTTTCTTTTCTCCTTAGAACACGAGTCGGAAGAGTCCGCTGAGATATTCTGTATGTGCAGGATGACAGCATTGTCACTCTCTACCTCTGTCACCCTACTGTAGTCCTTTGGTATGTTCTTCTCTTCAGCCTCCATGTTTTCCTTTACGGCTATGAAAATATTGTCACCATTCACCTCTTTCACTTTGTTATAGTCCATATCTACCTCCTGTATGTTCTCGTGTCTCTGAATATCCACATAACTGCTGTTGGCGAGAGGATAGACAATCCTCTCAGCCACAGAGTTGTGATTTGGTGGATGCATTGTTCCTGTGTTTATAAGGTTTATATTTGAACACTGTGGTTTCTGAGTTGGGAGCTGGTCTGGCTCCATGTTAGATATAGTGTCCTCTGAAAGAGACTTATTGCTTTTTTCAAAGTTGTCTCTTTCATCATTACTCTCCTTAGCCATTACCCCATTACACTGGCCTGACGTTGACTGGATTTCCAAGTCTGTGTGAATACCAGCACGATTAATCAAGCTTTTCTTCCTTTTTTGAGAACTTGGCGGTACATCATAGTTGTCAGACACAATTAGGTACTCCTCGATCGGTTCCACACAGGGCCCCATCGAAGGAAAGTTCTGGTTGAAGATCAAGGCGCTGACGACATCTTCAGCTCGCCCACTCTGGAAGGGTTAGTCAGGCATAATTCAGTACATTGTAATCTGGGCCAAACAGGTTTTGGGATGTGCTAGGAATACAATGCAAATCCAGTTTTACCTTGAGAAGCTGAACATCAACTCCTCTTATCTTTGGAACAGGAACACGGGGCAGAAGACACTGCTGCACACTGAGGAACAAAAAAGTTGTGAATCCGGTTATCTTTGTCCTCTAGACTTTACATAAAGTGTTGTATATGTTTCTTTGCAGGTGATACATACTGTTTCCTCTTCATGACCAAGATGCACATTGCAGTTATAAATGAAATTGCAGAGAGGATGGAAACCAATATCCAAACCAGTTTCTCATTCTGAAGATCTAAATTTAAAAAGTTTGTGTTGATTATTAATACTTAATTTGTAATCGTCGCCATCTTGTCGTAAAGCCAAACATGGAGCAAAGAGCTTCTGAGACTCACAGTTGGGGATTTTTGCATGGGTAGAGTTGGTCCAGTCGCTCCAGGAGCCATGGTCTAGTCTACAGCGAACCTGAATCATGTACACTACCCCAGGATTAACGTTGTACAGGCTGAAGTAGGCTTGTGTACCTGATGCGTACTCCTAGGAAAAAAAAGGGGGACACACAAATCAACTAAAGTTCACCTTGTACCCATGTAAAGATCATATTTGGGTTTAACAGTAGTTGCAAATGTTTTTCCTAAAGTGATGGTAAAATTTTCCACTGATAACCGAAAGGTTGGTGGTGGGGCAGCTGTGGCTCAGGAGGTAGACCAGTCACCCTTCAAGGTCGGAGGTTTGATTCCTGCTCTCCCCAGTCCACATGTTGGGCAAGACACTGAACACCCAAGCACCGCCATCAGTGTGTATGTGCATGCGTGTAAGTTGGTGCTGCAGATGGCTGCCTCGGTTCTTACCAGACAAAAAGTCCTTGTGTGTGTAACATACTTGGCCAATAACCGTGATTATCATTATGAAATTACAGTACACTGACTACTATGTACTAACTGCAACACCTGCTTACTAAGAAAATAGAAATATTTGTACAGAGTATGCTCAAGACTGGATTGCCAGCTGGGTAAAGTGGGTGACTGTTAAGGGGCCCGGAAAATCCCAGCTTTGCTCCATATTGTCTGGTCTACATCATCTGATACATCTCCTTTTGTTATAAATCTACACCACTGTTGAAAGATATGACATCCTCCATCATGTAGCCTTGAGCTTAAATTGTTTTAGTTTGCTGAGCTCATTTGTTGTAAATGTATTTGATCAAATTACATATAGATTTTCTGTTTGTCAAGTCATTTACACACAGAGAAGGAAAGGTCATTATTATTCCATCACAGGAGATTCGTAAGGACGCAACCGTCAAATATTTTCATAAAAATTTGGCCTGACAATTATTTTTCTTGATATCTGATTGTTTAAAAATGTAAAAATAATTGGAAAATGCCCATGATTATTCCCTGAAGCCCAAGTGAACATATTCAAATTGCTTTTGCTGTCTGACCAACAGTCAAAAACCCAGAGATGTTCAGTAAACTATAATTATAAAACAATGAAAAACATTCACATTTGAGAATCTGGCATCAGCAATTTGGCCTTTTTGTTCAACAAGCAGTCAATTATCAGAATTGTTGGCAGGTAATTTTCTGTTAGTCATTTCATCTTGAGAGCACAGGTTTCTGGGTAAAAATGAAACTAATGTGTACACCGGGGGGTCAGTGGAGGTGGTGCTGATGCCCTGTGGTTAATCCACTCATGTATATTTTGCAGTGTTACTGTTGAGTACGAAAGCAAGTCACAACAACTGACAGTCCTGGGTGCAGTCCGTTTATTGGCCTGTACTGACTGTGTATGTAACAACTTGATTGTTTACCTGAAGAAGAGAAGTTAGATTGTTTACTTTCTTCCCATTTACACTACTGCAATTCATACCCAAGCCAGATTTCACTCCCAGTTGCAATCGTTCTAAAATGCAGCCACGAGGCACTTAAAACAATTTAAGGAAGCTGGATTCATCACCCTATCATAGCTTGAAATCACTTACTGCCTGTTTACAAGATTTACAATCTATGTTGATACTGATTACCTTCATGGAAAATTTTGGTCAGGGCATTAACTTTTAACTTATTATGGACTAGATGGCCGCCTCAGGCAGGGACCTCCTGGCTAATCCAAGGTCATAAGTAGCTTTGTGGGGAAAACAGCAGTCCCATTTAATATTGTACTTAATTCCTTTTATACCCTCCAGTTTGTTTCCATTCAGTCTTTTTCTTTGAGTGTGTTTTTGACACACAAAATCAAACAGTTTTGTTTTGTGTTTTTCAAGAGGAAGTTAATGTCATACTAACAAACCATATTTCCACCTTTGATGGGTTTATTAGTAACTTTCAATGAAAGGACATGCAGTGGAGTGTGTGTTTACAAAGGAACCAACTGTGCAGTTGTGCTTTTTACAGGCTCTTTTCTCAAAGGCGCAGTTTGTTTCACTTTTCACTACGCAATCGATGGAAGGCACAAAATCAATCACATCATCTTTTGGGATTTGCCAGCTGATTATAACTGAAAACATATTTTACTATTGGTTATACAAATATCACTGATTGTCTATGTGACTCCCTTTCTGTTTAGCAAAAAAATGATTCTTCTTCTCACAATCATATTTTTCAGGAATTCGGTTCTTAACATTTAACACTCACCTTCCACTCGTCGCTGTTTTGTTGTTTGACTCTTAATTCATATTTAATGGTGACCCATCCGGATTTTGTGTCCGTGTTACGGGGAGGTTCCCACCTGACACTGAGACATGGACTGTTCTCTCTCTCCTCCACCAGCAGTGTGACATTTTCAGGTGTGTTGGGCTTCACTGTCAAGCACAGACAGGACAGGTATTGGTCTACAGCCACAGTAGAGCCTCTGTGAGGTTGAACTTTGGCACAGTGGTGCTTTGAGCTAAACATGCTGGTGTTTATATGTATGACATTTATCATACTCATCATGTTAGTGCATTAGCATGCTAACTTTTACTATAGCGCTAAAACCCAAATACAGCTGGGGCTGATAGGAATGTCATTCATTAGTTTTGCAGGTGTTTGATGGACAAATTGAATTTTTTGTTAAGCACTAATCAAAATTATTACAATTCCTCCTGAGGATGATGTGAATGAATTTTTTATTGAGATAATTGAAAGTTGACCTTGGTGGACTTGTGGTGCTAAAGGCTTTATGATTCATATGTCTCTGTATCAGGCCATCATTTGGTTGAGAGATTTCAATCTGTGGTTCACTGATTAACAGACCAACATTCCCATCCATAGAGCCATGCCAGTAGCATGACTAAAAACATGATCCTTGAGAAGATTTACAGCAGCCAAGTGCCACATGTAGTAACCTGCATCTTAATCTGTGTTTATGTTTATACATGTGGGTCTGAGAGGTAGGTACTCAGACACCAAGGAATCAAGAGGATTATGAGGACACAAAATGTAGCAAATACCTAGTTTCTATACATTTTTATATATGTTTCAACTTATACAGAGTAAATTCAGATCCCTGGGACAGCAGCTAACACAGTGAGTTAATATTTTCTTACATGGGACAGGACTTTGCCCCAAGTGTATTGTAAGTACAGGGCATGGTAAGAACATACGCTGCCTGTATAGCCAAATAAAAGATGTGAAATTTGATCCGAGGCTGTACGCATGTTAAACAGCAGGCACAAACCAGTTCCACCTCATTCTGTTTTCATTTGTGGCTCATGTCTGTCACTCAGTACTTTTCCATTCCTTATTAAGCTCAAGAAGGCTGCACAGTGCCAATCATTAGCTGGATCAATACAGATCATTATCAACTTTAATGATTACACAAATCTAGTAGTAGTCAGTAGTCCAGCATGTATTACTCCTAGTCTGACACAAATCCTCTTGGTAATTATAAATAATTTGCACAGAGTTATTCATTTTGAATTTGGTCCTTTTTGGTCCAGATAGTCCTGATTATATCCAGTGTGGTTCAGTGTTGTAAAACACCAATACAGGACAAAGTCCGAAGAAGCTGACTACTTTTTATAGACACTGTATAATAATGACAACAGTGCAGAGCCACAAAAAACTTAGAGGATATTTTTAATATGCAGAAGCTTTGCTGAAATTCTTACTCAGTACTTTGCTTTTCTTACTTGTCTTTATTTAAATACAGAATTTAGTCGCTGTTATATTTTTGTATTTATTTTATAGCTGTTTTTTGTGAGTGCACCTATTAGAAATAGGGTACATCTGTGTTAATGTACAGGAGTGAATGAACCTAATTAAATCTTTATTCTTTGGGAGTAACAACATACCGATTTCCATCACGTCTATGCTAAGGGGTTCTGAAGTGGCGTTCCCAAGGGCATTGGAGGCCACCACCATCAGGTTGTACTCGACCCAGATGGAGGTGCGGCTCTTGTCAAAGAAACAGGAGTTCCTCCCTGCTGAGCGGTAGTCAGGACACTCATGTATTCCCTCCACACTGTTCATACAGAAAACAAGACAAGACCTTTACTGACCAGGATGGGGGTGAACACTCCTCAGGGTGTTTTGCTTTCATGCACATACAACAAAACCAGCATTTTCAAACTGTGTTATGGGTGGTGAATAAATGTTAACAGTCAGACACGGCTCAACTAAAGGCAGTCCCAGACAGTGGCTTTATATTAATACTCAGATGTGTGCAACATGATCCCAAATGTCTTTTTTTTTTAAGAAGAAAGACTGGAAGTGTTTGACAGATGTTATAAATCAAAGGTGTAAACCTTTGTTGAATTTTGTCAAACCACCAAGAAGCCTCAGGTCATTGAATTTACAAAAGTATTCATGTCATATAGTGTACTTTGATCTTTTACCGTATGTGAAAATAATAGTGAAAGTCTACAGCCACGAGTGGCTCTGTGAGGCTGTATGCATGCACAGCTAAATGCTAATGTTAGCTTTCTGGATGCCGCTGTTATAATGCCATCCATGTTCATTATCTTCTAGCTTAATACAATTTGCTTATTAGCATTAGACTGTTAGTTTTGTGAATATCAGGACATGAACATAGGTACTGAACAAATTAAATTTTGTCCTGATTGTCGACATAAATAATGAAGTTAGGTGGTAAATTCCAGCTCCCTTATTTCATTGGTCCTCGCTCCTTGGCCCTCACTCGACCGTAACGACTTTGGGATCGAGGATGTCCCAGAGCTCTTATGGGTATGCTGCGAGGAAGTCTTTTATGTACCAACACACCCCTTTATCAGAAATCGGTTAGTGATTGGACACTTCAGGTGAAGGATCGAGGAAAAGGGCATTCTCATGTCATTATAAACCTTTTTCCTTGATTCCTCTGTCCTCACCATTTTTCCTTGCATCTTTTCCTCTCATCTTACTGTATGTGGGCAGGATTAAGACACGAGGAAAAGACGCAAATGAGGGAAACGCGGATGCAATTAAGAGACTTGGGATTCACCTAGCAAATCACTGTTATCGGTAGGATTAATCCTCTGGGGACCAGGACTGCTTGTGCAACATTTTGTAGTAATCAATCCAATAGCTGTTGATATTTTTTTAGCCTGGACCAAAGTGCACCAACTGACTGACACTGCCGTCCTTGAATAGTAATATATTGGCATTTTACCTTCAGGCCAGGGCAAGTGAGGGTCACACAAGTGAGGCAGATGAAGTCTGCAGGTTTACTTGCACAGCAACAAAGACTTGTGCTCAGCTGACTGAGCACAAGTCTGTGAACAAGGGAGCAGGTAGTTTTCCACTCACTTGTCTACAACACTACACTACACAGGCCACTCAACAACAAGAGCTTTCTCAGTGTGGTGAATAAACCTAATGGGGTTCTGGTGGCTTTGAAGTTCAGACACATACAGTATACTGTGGTTAAAACCCTGGTTCAGTTCCAGGTGGTTTTCTTTCTTGCATGTCATTCCTCTTTCTCTCTGTGTCCCTCACCCTCCCTGTATCTCTACTGTTACCCTGCTGAATAGAGGTAAGATGCCCTAAAAATTCTTAAAATGAATATTAAACAAGACTTAGTGATCGGACTGACTTTTCTTTCTCGTAGTAGAGGCGGTGCGTTGTCAGCAGTCCTCCGTCAGAGCCCGGCTCCCACCAGCAGGTAAATGTCTCCTTCTCAGGGGACCTGCAGCCGAGCAGGACTGGTTTCCCTGGTGGAGACATGCCTGGCAACACATGTGACAAACAAGCTTCAGTTCCCATCTCACAATATAGCATTAATATAATAAAATAAAAAACAGAAACTGGCAGAATACATAAGAAAATCTCCTTCCTGTCATAGTATCTAGCCATGCAGATAGTTTTTGACATACAGTGGGCACAGAAAGTATTCAGACCCCCTTAAATTTTTCACTCTTTGTTATATTGCAGCCATATGCTAAAATCATTTAAGTTCATTTTTTTCCTCATTAATGTACACACAGCACCCCATATTGACAGAAAAACACAGAATTTTTGACATTTTTGCAGATTTATTAAAAAAGAAAAACTGAAATATCACATGGTCATAAGTATTCAGACCCTTTGCTCAGTATTTAGTAGAAGCACC